AAAAAAAAGAGAGAGAGAGAGAGAGAGAGAGAGAGAGAGAGAGAGAGAGAGAGAGAGACGTACACGGAGAAAAATATTCAATAAAAATTACGGAACAATTCACGTAATCCGCAACAGTGAATCGTTTTCCGGCAATTTTTATAGGAATGAAAGAGGAGGAATCTGAAACGTTCAGTGAATTTTCGGGTTCATCACCGAACAAAGTACGAAACTGTCACGTAATTTTTCCCGAAGGAGTAAAATCTTACAGAAACTTGGCGACTTATTATGCCTCCAAAATCGAAAATTCTTGAACGTTCAACAATTTTTATGAAGCTGGTGAGTTATTTCTACGTTCCGTTCCGTAAAATTTCTCAATTGCTGGGGAAAAATTACGGAACGACTTGCTGTCCCCACAGCCGTGAATCATCAGGCGATTGGTTAATTTTTACGGAACAAATCGTAGAATTTCCGTGGCGATTCGTACAATTTCAGTTCCGACTCACACTTTTTATTGAATTTTACTTCGCTCGCGGATTACGTTTCGAAATGTAATTTTTATGTTTTTTCTGGTAATTTTTATTGAATTTTTCTCTCCGTGTATGAAAAAATCGTATCGAAATTCTACAGGATTTCCGTATATGATATTCGGATATTTCTATAGGAATGTTTTCTATACAAATTATTTTCATATATAAATTTTTACATAAATTTTTGTTTTCATACGAAAGATGTCTAAACGCTCCAGAGAAAAACGCGGAGAAAGGTCACAACTCCATACGAAATGTTTCTATACACGTGGCAGTGGGTCGTATAGGATCAAACCTATAGAAATCGTGTAAAAATAATTTGTATAAAAAATATCCGCACAGAAATATCCGAATATCATATACAAAAATCCTATAGAAATTCTATACGCAATCCGTATAGAAAATTTCTATACGATTTTTTCATACGTGGAGTAGAAAACTTTGAGTGGAAAAATATTCTTCCCATTCAGGGTAGTAAAATGCCTGGTGTGAGAGGTGAGTCATCGCTGGTTAGACGTTATATGGCCAATTAGGGGGGAAGCACGTCTAAAAAATTTCATCAAAGAAACCTGGTTGAGTAAACTTTTGGTTAATCCAACTTTTATCGGGCAGTTTATTCCCTCATGCTTATGAATGTGTGGCAAATCACTTGTTATTGAGACTCGCTGTTGTTTACTCTGAATGCGATGTTTGCAAATTTAATATTGTGCTTCGTTTGTTTTTCAGTTTGTTATTTTCGCAGGTGGGAATTCGTTGAAGCGTTATTAATGCTATATTTTTGTGTTTATTGCATTATTTTTCTGGAGTTGATAAACATTTTCAAGTTTTGTTTCCGAATGGAAGCATTGTAATCATTAAGTAATAAACAATTAATTATACATGACAGAAGAAAATGATGTGCAAAGCAACCATTCGGAAACATATTGCTAGTTTATTAGCAAAAATAATTATATTATTCGCAATAGAAAAGCAATTTCCCACTTGTTTTTAGTTACCAGGTTGTTTTCACGAAGTTTGTTAAACATGGACCCGATTAGGGATGGACCGGATGAAAGTGTTTACCGGAAAAATGTTTTTTCACTCAAAGTTCGTCCAACAGTAGAATAGCTATGTTCACAAACATCTATTGACATACATCAATCAATATATGGTAAAATAGAAACTTCTTCAAGGTCTCACTTTGATTTCTTGCTACTTCATTCTGCTCGTAATCATGGATGATCTCCGACGCTCTCTTCTCGTCATACAACGGATATAGTATCTCATTCAGAGTCGGATCGCGCTGTTTCTCGTTCAAAAACGTAATCAGCTGTTCCAAATTGATTGTGTCGGCTTTACCCTGAGTTCTACGGAGAATAAAAAAAATATATTGTAGAAAAAAAGGGAAATCCCCACTTTATTCGCAGAATTCAAAGTAAATTGAACCATTCGATGGGATAAAAATACCAACATGGATTGGAACAGTTCTTCGATATCATTTCTGGGGCAGATTTTATGGTAAAGTGCATAAAATGCTTCGAAGGTGAAATCATCCGGCTCTATAACATCATTCTGAAAATAAAAACGTTTCCATGAGTTTTTAAAACCCTTCCTCCAATCTGTTGTTCCGCTGAGAGATAATGATTTTCTTCATATCTCGCTGAATTTCACGGTTAACACTCACTTTTCCGCTCGGCAAACCAAGTTCAGAGAGACAGTGATAAACGAGCTTTTCTGTTTTCCCTGATGCGAAGGTCCTTGCAACTACCTTCACCGGAACTTTTCCATTGGGATCCACGAGCATTCTCAATCTCATCCAACTTTGAGAGGAAAAAAACACATGTGAACGTGTGTAAGCACTGAATATTGCACACATCTAATTATTAAGGAATTGACATACTGTTTTTTTAGACAAGTCAACGGGCAAACGTTATTAGCTTTTACATTATGTGTAATACGACGAATTCCAGCCAGCCATATCTGAAGGGTCAAAACAGACAATTAGTCAACTAATTTCAGAAGTAGGCCTGAAAAACAGTTGAGGAAAAATAATCACATGGGTATGGATGCACGTGATTTTAACTACAGTCGAGGCTTCATATAAGATACCTCTCGATAAGATACCTCTAGCTCCGAACGCTCGAGGCCTTTTATCGCCTCCCGAATGTTGAGTTCCGTGGGCTGCTTATAAGACAGCTATTGCCTCGATCATTTTTCAACGGGAAAAGAGTGATTATAAGGATCAATCGAAGTTAAGGGTCAAACGGGAGGGACGAACGAAGTGATCATAAGGGTCAAATGACCTTAAGGGTCAAGAGTTCAAACGTGAGAGTCAAGTGAAGTAATCAGAAGGGTTAAACGATCCCAAGGGTCACCTCTTTTCTTCGACGCTATAATTATTAAAATGATGACGCAGAATTATCTTAATAGAATAAAGCCTAATTAAAATTCAATTAATTTATGCACTTTCAATAATTGGTACTTCACGCGGGGTTATGTTTAGAGAGAAAAGGGAATCCGGGCTATACAAATTCAAAACATTAAACTCGTATAAATTAATTAGTTATCAATATCCATTCAGTAAAAATGAATATTCCATAGAATTCAGGCGCAACAAGCGAGGTATCTTATTTCAAACCGCTGATCCCTATTTTTCTCATCTATAAGCGCGCGTAGTGGGAGTATATGGATTCCCGGAATTCCACTCTCCTACTGTCCCTAGGGTATCTTATACACAAGGCTTGACTGTATTTTTTTTCCTGTGCGCTGTCTTTTTTGGAGTCATTCGTCCGTTAGTCACAATTATATGTGGCAAGTTCATACAGTAGAACGTGCGATGAGTTATGCTGTCACAAGTTTGAAAGCTCTCGTAAGTTATGCGGAATCACCGGCCACCACTGATATAACGGAAAATTTGGTGGCAGAATCGCTTCCACAACTTCTGATTGGGCACATGCAATTTAACTTATGAGCTTTCGTCGAGCCATTTGCCGTACGTTATCACACGTTCTAGTGTCACTCGGTTTTGAGAGACGCGTGACAATAAGTTTGGTGGAAAAATTTACGAGTGGAGAAATGTAGTTTGAGTCGACATTTCATCATCTGTTGGAAATATTTATTTTCCATAAATTAAGGATATTTCCTTAAAAAATGGAGTTAAATTTTTTCCAATGACGACGTGTGGCTGTGCAGACATAAAATTTTTTAAATTGTCCCCTTACCAGAATTTTTGATAGATTCACTTGAGTTTTGGTTTCCACACAGATAATATATTGACGAAAAAAATATGTGAGTTTTTTTTAAATTCCAATTTTTCGATTTATTTTCTCAAAAATGGTAGAAACAATCTCATTTTAGTATTGTATAAATTGAAGGCTATGAGGCACTAATAAAACTACAATTTTTTTTTAATTGAAATTTATTGATGTGTCATGACCCAACTGTCTCTACCAATTCGAAGCAAAAAAATCGATAAATTGGAATTTTCAAAAAGCTATCATATGTTATATATTATATGTAGTATATATAATATAGTATAGAATATAACATAACATAGTATTATCGTAATATAATCCATAAAAAATCTAATGACACAATGCGCCGAATAAATTAGCTTCAAAAAATATATTATATATTAAAAAAATAAATTCCTGAAACTTTTCCTTTGGATAATTTGATATTAACTTTAGAAATCTAATACAACACTATTCACTACAATTGATATATATTAAGCCCCATGGAGTGGGACATACGCGGGCAGAGCGCGCGGACTATTCTAGTCGTAACAAATTTGTTCATCTTCACAATTTGACAAAAAAACGATTTCATGCCCAAACAAATAAGCTCTCCGAACGTTTAAACAATTTCATTTATTTACTTATAAACAACGAAAGTTAAGAAAGTAATAATTCTGTGGAAAACGTAATCTGAATGACGCTGAATCTCCATAATTCAAAAAACAAAATTTTTCGCAATTTAATTGACAAATTTAATGACTGAAAATGGATAGTCTTAAGTTGAGGAAACCCTGATCTTGACCTTCATAAGTGGGGGCTGTTGAGTTTCCTCACAATGGCAACAGAAACCTGTAATTTACCTTCGCCGTAGTGGTGTCTGAACAAACAACGTGCTGATAATTTATATTGGTGTAATCGACTCCAGAGCATATGGTCAGACTTTTATCATCCAACTGTTCGCCATGCTTCGAGACCAACTTGTCGTAGAGCTTCGGATCCTATTGATGGAATACGAAAAACATAATTAATTCATTCACTAATAGTTCATTAATGATTTAATCAAATGAATCAATTTCATTAAATTAATGATTAAATTAAAAATTAATGAAATTAATGATAAATTAATTTCATTAAATTAATAATTAAATATAATATTAATTCATAATATAATATATAATAATAATTCATAATATAATATTAATTCAGGAAAAAATTGAAAATTCATGTCATTTTGTTTCTGATCATTCATGTTCCACTGAAAACTCATGGATTTCCGTGAATTCTAGTTAAAACCTGAAATTTCATAACCATTTTTTTCCTAAATTCGATTCAATGTCACTCCCATGAGATTTACTATAATATCTCCCATGAGATTTCAAAAAAATTCTAACAGTGCAGATGTATTTGTCCAGGCAATATCGATGATCTTGAATTTAAACAGAAAGATATCGAAATGACCCGACCTTCACTACTACCAGGCGATTAGATTATTCAAGCCAAGATGTTATTCCTTAAAAAAATTCTATCAAGTTGTTTTCACAAGTTGCTTATAAAACACGCAAGATCGACACAAGAAAGATGATAAAATTTGTTTCGCACCTTAGGCACACCACCAGCCCGCACGTCGCTCACTTGGCACAACTCGATAACGTCCCCGTCCTGTGAATAGCGGGTAGAAAATTTGATGAATAGATTAATCAAACAGCGCTATTGACTTCAGTATTCACAGGTAGAGAAAACTGACTGAAATTGGCTCATTATCACCAATTGATGGATGGAACAAATAAGAGATTTAGCGGAATAATGGTATTGTTGACTGGCAATGTACAAAGTCAAGAAAGTCGATGAATGTTCAGCAAATCATAAAATTTGTAATATGAAAATGTAACAGTTGATAAATTGGGACATATGATATCCAATTGATTGAAAAAGGAAATCCAATACAATTTCCAAGCGAATTCCCTAGGTTTTTCTATGAAATGGTTTCACCCATATACAACAATATCGAAGAGTTCTGAACAACGAAATAAGGGTAGATATTTCCAGTAATAAAGAGCTCATCTCACCTTGCCCTCACTCTGCCAATAGATGAAGAAACCGTATTCATCGACCTTGAACGTGCAATTCAGCTCAATTTCAGTGTTGTCCTTTTCCTCGGTCCAGCGGTCACATACACAGCCAATGCGAAGTGCCTCCGGCACTTCCATTTGCCAATTGAATTCGAATCTTTTAGTCATGTTTGTTTCAATGGGTTTCTTAATTTTATTCGAATTACGCCGTTCCTTCAAGCATAGGTGATGTCAAAAGGCCGATGATTCATCCTCTCATTCCGAGCTAAACATATAAATATTCGTTGTCATTATCATGCGGTTGTCATGAGAGACTGACGAGAGAAGAGATGGGAATCTGTGGAATGGGTGGAATCGATAAGCAGGCGCCAATCATCTGAATATTTCACCAGTCCCTGGGACATCAGTGGTTTGGTCCAGTGGGATATGCCCTCGGCTGACATGCGAACGGCTCCGAGTTTCATTCCCAGTTGGTTACACGCGGTACTAATCATTCAGGTATGATCAATCACCTGTATAATTAATTACAGCCAGTGCACGAGACGTTGGAGCCTTAAAAAATACTCCTCGGAGTCTCTTGCGTCATGTGTTTTAGAGGGATCATTGTTTATAAACTGTGTCATATTATGTAATATAATTACTTTCGATTTTTTTTTGTTTTTACGAACTCCCCTCTGGAAAGGCTGCACTGTCAAAAATTTGTGTCTGAAATTTCCGGCACACTTTTTGTAAACTTTTAGCGAATTTAATTATCACTGAAATTTTGAGGAATTTCGTCATTGAAAAGTCAGAATTTCGTGGAAAAATCAAAGAGAATGGTAAATTTTAATTCCATGTTTCTTTGAAAACGAATAGAAACCGACGCTGAATGCGATTTAGTGGGGAAAAATCGTGAAATTTCAGATTTCACTGAAAATTCAATGTAATTTGGTACTGAATATTCGTATTAGATTAGAAATTCAAAAAATTGAGGAATTCTCGTGTTTATACTACTTAAAATTCTGGAATTTTACTAAATTTTCAATGAAACCTGAAATTTCATAATTGTTCCCCCCCTAAATCGCATTCAGTCCCTGTCCGGAAAATTAGTAGTCAACGGTCCATGAAATTTCATTATTTTCTAACAGTCTGTACTGCTCACAGTTGATATTTTTTTTATGAATAAATATTGTTTTAAAGGGAGTTGGAATCCCCGTGGAATTTCAAAGTTCTACGTATATTAGAAATTTTTTGAAAATTAAGCAATAGTTGCACTTTAATTCTCAATGTTGTGCATTTGAATTGAATTTAAGATCAAATCGTTCTTGGAATCTCTCATTCAGGTTAGATATTCCGGATAATTGGGTTTTCCGTGTTGGATTACCACTGATATTTCAATGACATCTCTAGAGTTTTCCAATTCATTGCGGAAATTGAACATCACATCCAGCTGAATTCTCAGTAGATTGAAAATTCAGGGAAATTGTTGCTTGAATTTTCAAATTACATAATAATAATAATCATCCAAAAAAATTTTTAGTTTCCAATTTTCAATTTCTGTTATTTATTCTATACATTACCAAAAGACAGCGATAGAAATCGAATTTATGGGCATTCTTTCATTATTCGAAAAAAATTGATTTCAAAATTTTCCTTTTGTTTTGATCACAAAAAAAATTGATTAATCTTCGAGATATTTCCTCTTCATTCAGTATTGTGAGTCATGAATTAAGGAAAAAATATATATAATAAGAATAAGAATGGATAAAATTAAATTAATCTAATTGTGAAGACGGAAATTGAAAGCAAATATAATAAACTAAAAGGCGCGAAGCGCCCGTTCACTAGTTATTTAATAATTTTCATTATTATGTGAACTTAAAAATTACAGCTGCATTGAATACTCCAGAATGCAATCGATTTTTCAATAACAAAATACATGAAAATTTCGTGGGAACAAGTGATTGCTAAAAATTTCAAGATTTTTTACTTGAAATTTCGGGAGTTATTTTGTAAAAGCGAGAAGCTTTGCGGAGATGTATGCTCACACGAATGAAATGTCAATATTTTCGGAAATCGATACTCAATCGTGATCGAATGTATGTCAACGAGACGGACGGCCTGCTTCGATAACGAGAGCATAATCAGGAATCGATGCGATGACTCTTGATGATGCATATTGCTGCGCGAACTAACTTCATGATGACAATTAACTTTTCCGAATGGGGCTCCACGTGTATTTGAATTGTCAGGTGTATAATTTCGTTGCAGATGTCGACCCGCTCTATAAATTTGCGAGCTCGCTGATTATTCACCTTGTCAACTCTAGTTCGGTCGGAATATGAAGAGTTCGTTAGGTTATTTCGTTTTTAATTCTGGGAAATTAAAAAAAAACACTTCGATAACGTAACTTTTTTCAATTCGATTTTTTCAATCCCTCTATTACACTGAGGGAGATAATTAGGGGAGGATGGGGCAAAACGGCCCCCATTCAATCGTCAATATTTTCCGATTCAATAATCCGATTGGGATGAGTTTCAGCTCGTTTTGAAGAATGAAAAATTATCTTCAAAATGAAGTTGAAACTGGGAATTTTCACAATGTCATTCACAAGTTATTGACAATTGAAGGGGGGCCGTTTTGCCCCACCCTCCCCTAGGTCTGCCAAAAAATGACATGTTCCCCTGAAGAGATCTTTTGTCGTGTTGACTCAATTTACTTGTGGACAAAAAAGAGTTTCCACCAAAACGTGATAATTTTCGTAGTTGCAATTGTTCTCGTGAGACATTTATGTCTTTCCGGCAAATACATTTGGTCTACAGAGAATTATATGAGGCTCCGGTTTTATCAAGTCAATATTATTGAGTAGTGTATATCTTTGTCCAATAAACACTTATAATTTCCATGGGACAAATGATTATTTCCCGAGGAAACTACAATTTTCGTGCTGAAAACTGTGTTATTGGCAAAACTAAATAATTTCGAGGGACAATTTTTTTTGGGAAAAAAAAATTCTTTCCTCGTCAATGGATTCTATCTATGGTGTAAACCTATGGAGTTCTCTCAGATCAAATGATTGTCGTACAATAGATTATATTTTTTCCTGCCAACAGTTGGAATCCTTCTAGGAATGTTTCTGATGATCACGACAAAATTTCATTTTTGTGAAAAATATTAAATTTCCTTCTATCAAGTTGGTTAATTTCCCTCAAGTAAATCTGTTTCACTCCATCAAATATTCTCACGTGGAACATACAGTTTTTCAGCAGAACAATTTTTTTCTCTCAGTGGAGGAATCTATTTCTTTTCTGAAAATAATATTTCTTCGTCGTCAATATATTCTTCCTGCATTATAATCACATGGCGCTCCCCCACGTCAAATGAAACACTCATAATTTCCATGGAATAAATGATAATTTCAAGAGGAAGCTAAATTTAATTTAATTCAATTTTTGTGAAAGATATCTGTTCCACAGATTTGGCATCATGCCTGCGAAATCTAAAAATTTTCAAATTTCATAAAGGTCTCTCCGCACTTTGGTATTATTCTTTGAACCACCCTCCCTCTCTCAGTGAGAGCGTTCAGTTCCCTGAACCATTTATAACCCAAACGTGGAGATAGGGAAACTTCCGCTCGATGTTCATCAATCTGCCTGATTTAATTCACTCCCATTGTTATCCATTATATCCATTCCCATTTCCATCAGCATGGAGGGAAAATATGTGACCGAAAAATTCATACATTTCATCATTATGAAGAGACATTTATTCCTGACCCACATCCGTCTTTTCCGTGTGAGCTGTTCATCAATTTGCTGATGAAGCAAAAGCAACACCTTAATAACAGAGATCCGTATCAGCAAGGGGTACCTGCAGCGCCCACACTTCTTCGTTAACAAGGTATCGAAAACTACTATCAACAAAATCGCTCGGAAAGGAATATTATTGAACGCGCGTAGTGCATGAACTGGTCGGAAACTGCTTTTACGTAAAAAAATTTGATTGGATTTCTACTGAACTTTCCATTTGTTTTTGGCCGAGTCTATTAAAAAATCCGACAGCTTATCTGCGCGTTTTTTTTCAATAGAAATGTTCCGCGGAAACTGTTCTACAGAAAAAATCATTCAAATAATATTCGCTTTTTAGGTACAATTAATGTCTGTTGAGATATTTTCGAAGGAAATTCCTCCGCGCAAGTTTTTCATGTTTTTTTGTTTATGCACCTACACGGAGAGAAATATTCAGTAAAAATTACGGAACAATTCACGTAATCCGCAATGGGGAATCGTTTTCCGGCAATTTTTGTAGGAATGGAAGCGAAGAAATCTGGAACTTTCAGTGAATTTTCAGGTTCATCACCGAACAAAGTACGAAATTTTCACGTAATTTTTCCCGAAGAAGTAAAATCTTACAGAAACTTGGCGACTTATTGTGCCTCAAAAATAAAAAATTCTTGAACGTTCAACAATTTTTATGAAGCCGGTGAGTTATTTCTACGTTCCGTTCCGTAAAATTTCTCAATCGTTGGGGAAAAATTACGGAACGACTTGTTGTCCCCACAGCGGTGATTCATCAGACGGGTGGTTAATTTTTACGGAACAAATCGTAGAATTTACGTGGCGATTCGTACAATTTCAGTTTCGACTCACACTTTTCATTGAATTTTACTTCGCTCGCGGATTACGTTTCGAAACAAAATTTTTACGTTTTTTTTCTGGTAATTTTTATTGAATTTTTCTGTCCGCGTAAAGTGCGCTGTTTCATGTAAGATTTTACATTTCCTGAGCAATTAACAATAACATCTTAACAACGGAGAAGCGAATCATCGAGGAACATCTAGCAGAAGCGCTCACGCTTCTTCGTTATCAGGGTGTCGAAAGCTAGTATCAACAGAGCGGGGGGTGTCGAACACCCCTTGATGTGGTATACGACACATAATGGACCTATTGATTGACGACAGCTATAAGGTAGATTTTATCGAATTGGTGTAATCGAATCCCACGTGCGAGGCGCACTTAGTTTCTTCCTACGTCAAAGTACGCAATAAAAAAAGAAAAAGACGTGAATCACTCAAATGTTCGACGATCGTTCTGTTTCATTGCATTGTTTCCCATAAATTTTATCATCATTATTCTCAAGGGGAGGAATCACGTGATGAAGGTCACCTCGCCAGAATTTTGGACAGGTGTGCAGGACATCTCGTCATTGAAAAATTACATTGTTCGTTGATTTTCTCCCAAAATTATCAATTGAAAATGGCAACATCAGTTCAATTATTCAGTGAAA